TGGCTCTGGTTGTTGGTGCATATATCTGTATGATAGTGGTATTCACTGGACTTCCTTGTATGTGTATGGATATTATCCTGTCACTCACAATATTGTACTTCAAGATGGATCTAGCAATGACTTTTTTAACTGTGAAAGCAACTCCATTTTTTCTCACCTTTTCATCTCAAGAGTAATATGATCATTGACTCAAAATGCCCCATGCCAGTCCATCTCATCTTGCCAATGCCTAGTATGTCAATATTTATGCATTCCATTTCTTCCTTTACAATATCTAATTTTCCTACATTCATGGTTCTCACTTTCCATGTCCCAATCACCAGTGTCTGCTTACAACTATTCCTCTTCTTTTGTATTTCCATACTTGAAAGCTCAACCTCAGTTGCCCTTTCTGCTATCTACATGTGTTCTGTTGTACATAGGGTTTTCAGAGGGCTGCTATTTCAGAAATGGATGGCCAATCCTTCTTCCTAGTCTGTCTTAATCTGAATGTTCAGATTTAGAGAAGTATCAGACAGACCAGCATTTTATAAAAAAAGTAAAAGATATACCCCTTATTGTGGAGTTAACCATTAGTATCAGTGTTGTCCCATCAAGTCCATTTTAAGAAAGCTCATAACATCAAGAACAAAGATCTGGTGGGGATCTGGAAAGACAGAGTAAGGGTGAGCATAGTTCAATGGTGATTAATTTTACAAAACATAATGAATTGGAATGTTTGTATGGAACACAATGTGAATGAAGGCTAGTGTAAAACACAAAGTATACAAACTTGGTAAGAAAACAAATATAAAATAAATTTTTTTTAATAAACAAATTACTGGACAGTTTGTTTCTGAGATTTTGAATATATACTATAAAATGGTTGTTGAGAGCAGCCTTTTTCAAATATCTACTTTATCTCGAACATTTAAAGATGCCTGCCTCTTTGGGGATGAAAAAGAGAATGTGGTCTTTTGAGGCACAAGTGTTGTTGGGGTTTTTTTTATACTCTTTTCAATTTTTATTCATTTTAATAAACATTTACAGAGATTTTGGATTTCCATTCATTCATTGCTGCACTTTTCTCCCTGTCCACCCCTCCCCACTACTTTGCTCCTCTCTTTGAAAAGAAAAAGAAAAAAAAAAACAATTCCTTCATTGGTATACAATTCCCCCCTCCCCCTTCCCACCCGTTGCACCGAGTATACTTCTCTATGCAATCTTAATTCTGGACTCCTGTGATAACCGTATTACTCAATCATATATCACCTCTAAGTGTTCTTTAAGAGGATTGTGTCAAATCACATTTCTTCTCTAACGAAGAACAGTAACCCAGGACCTTGATAATTAATACCAATAAAATCCTGGTTCAACCACTTACACTTATCCGATTTGTAATCAGTGGGAAACTATTTAAACTTTCAGTGCCTTAGTTTTCTCATTTATAAAATAACACACCTATTTTATAGATGAAAAACTTAATTAGGCTTTTGTGGTGTCCAAATACATAAATATGTAGTACTTCCGGCACACACAAAAAAGTTATTTTACTGTAAAGAATAACCAAATTTAGAACCATGTTCTTCTATGGGCTTGATTGAAAAGTACTTACATAATAATTCAGGGGAAGGATTATTTTTATCTTAGGCCAGCACTTTAAAGTACTAACACTAAACAACATTATCAAGTTCGTGCAAAACCTAAAAGGCCCAATTCTCGAACCTGAGGGTAGGCAGATTTTTGTGGTTACTTGCCTTAATTTGCTGGTTCCAGTTGCTAATGACAAGATTTGCCGTCTTTTCAACTTCATTATCAAGCTTTTGAAAAGAAAAGTAAAAAGAAAAAAATTACTTAGTTTCTTCTTTTAATAATGCTGGCACAATCACCAACTGCCAAAATCCACAGGAATTTAAAAATCCTACAGTGAAAATCTCTCCTGAGATAAAGAGCCAAACTAGCTTTTCTCTGTGTCAGGAATCTCTGGGCCCTGTCACAGGTTCAAGGTCTTAGACTAAATTCCTTTGATAAAACAGTTCTTTCTAATCTGTAACTTACAAAGCACACACATAGATGGGCTCAGTGAACGTAGACATGATAGAGTGTTCAGTTGAATATCACTTCAGGTTCCATCAAGTCACCTCCCACATCAGTCCCAGTGGCAAAGCTTTCAGACCCTGAGGATAGATAACAGTCCCAGCAGTGTTCATTTTACTGTTTTCCATTATCTCTCAGCTCTGAGCTCTGGTAGCCAAGTGGCAAGAAGGTGCGCTGCAGTCCCAAAGGCATGCAGTTCGTAGCCACTAGCTGCTCCACGGGAGAAGGATGGGCAATCCCCTCCCGTGCAATTAACTGCCTCTGAAAACCTGAGGGAGGGCCAGCTATAGGTTGATTATGACTCTGTGGTACACAATAACAACAACTTTGTCTCTGAAGTGAGTGAAATTAATTTCAAAGAGATTAAATTCTTAATTATGCTAGTATTTCAATGCTTTTAAATAACACAAAAAGTAGTAATAGCAAATAACATGGAGCTCTGGTGAAGTAGTCCGTAGGGAACCATGTAGTTAATCTAAAGGACACGCTTCTCTGGCAGTTCGAATCCACTAGCGGCTCCACAGGAGAAAGATGAATCATTTCCTCCCCCTGTGATTTACAGCCTCAGAAACCCAAGGCAAGGTCAGCAATGCTGGTTCAGACTTCACGACAATGAGTTGAGCTCAATAGTAATAACAATCAAAATAAATCTAGACAACCCGCAGGGAGATCAGTTGTAAATTAGGGTAAAATCTTTTTCCTGAACATTTTAAACCATTTTCATTTTTTCCACTATTAAACAAAACTCTAACAAACATCCTTGTATATAAGTCTTGATGTTTCTATTTTAAAAAAATAAAAGCCTAGCTCAACTTCTCAACTGTCTTTTCCTTCCTTGGGCAGAGACAGAAATCTTACTTTAGAGGGAAAAAGAAAAGGTTTTGACTCACTGATTTTCTCTTCTTCTCTTGTGCACTCAGGATTTGATGAGTTGGTTTTATTGCTTCCAGCTGAATTGCTTTGCCAAGTTTTCTGGGAATAGAACATAAAGCACACACGAGCATAGTATTAAGATTTACATCTTCTTTCCAAATTATTTTCAGAGGCAATAAAATAGTGTGCTATGGAATGTCTACTTGGTGCCAGTTTGAAGGGAAATTTTTGCTAACATGAAATATTTACAATTCCCTCTAGGCTTGGAGTGGGGAGCTCTGGTGGTTCTTCAGTCTGAAGGGCTAACCCCAAAGTTGCTTTTCTCTGGCAGTTCAAATCCACCAGGGCTCTGTGAGAGAAAGATGGGCAATCTCCTTTTGTGCCTTTCACAACCTCGGAAGCTTCCTGTAGGGTCAGCTATGAGAGGGTTATAGCTTTACCAATGACTTTGAATTGGGGGTCAAGGTGAAGGGGTCACTCACTGATGAAGGTCTGCTGCAGATTTCATGTCCTCAGAGGCCCAGACCCAGGCATTGCTGAGACAGCTGCTGGAAGGGAGAAACATGGAGAGCAGACAAGAAAGGCTTTAATTTTCCCAGTCAATCTAGGAAATAAAGCATCATCTTTGACTCCCTGTGTGTAGCAATTACATTAATTTCCCTAATCTAATTTCAATTTTTCTACAGGATTAAATTCTATCAATATATTTCCTTGCACAATGGTAATTATTTATACTGCTTTTTTCACAGCCATTTTTCATTCCGATTTTTATTTTTGCTTTCGTTTCTGTGAGGAGCTCTGTGGCCTAGTTGGGAGTTTTGCTACAAACCCAAAAGTAGTGCTTCTGTGGCAGTTAGGATGCACCAGCAGCTCCATAGTGGAGGGGGAAGATGAGTCATTTTTCCTATGTGATTTATAGCTGCTGAAAACCAGCCAGCTAGGAGGGCATTCCAATTTGAAGTCAATGAGAGAGAGATTTCATTTCTGTAGAAAATGAGCAAAGACAAGTGAAATAATGCTTAGAGTGGGGACAGAAGGACTGTATAACTATGGGTTTCCAGAATTCCCAATTCACAGATGAGTAAACCAAGGCTCACAGAAGGTAAAGGTTAGAGACTGAATTGGTTTCCTCTCAAATATGTGTTGGGACCCCAACCCCATGTCTATAATTAGATTTCTGAATAGGATTTTGTTATTTTCATGAGGTCATTTCAGTGTAGGGCATGCTCTGGGCCTAATCATTCCCCAGGTTATAGAAGGAGCAGATGATGGAGGAGTAAGCACATAGTGGAGATGAGAGAGGCTATGAGAAGATTGTCAAGGAGTCTGGAAATACTGTGCTTGCAGAAATAGAAGGAAACAAGGGTCGTTCCCTAGGGCCAACAAAAGAGAGCTTTCTACCTCCACTGCTTCTCTAAATTTGGCATTCTAGTCTCCTCAACTGTGAGAAAAATGTCTGTTTTTAAAAATATCACCCTCTTGTAGTATTTCTGTTATAGCAGTAGTAGCAAGCTAACATAGAAGTGCAAGGGATAGCTGAACCCCAGTCAAGTCCTGCTTGCTGCTTCTGGGGAAAGGAATCAGCTTCCCAGTTCCTTACTGGCTTTTGAGAAAATAGCTAATTTGTGTTAAACAGTATTTCTATTTAACCCAAAGAATGGTATGCTTCTCTTCCTCAAAACACAGAGGGAAAAATCAGGAAGTACCATGTTATCTTCTCCACAATGGAGATCTTAGTCACACTACTCACAGAAGGGGCATGGCTCACAGAGGTCTGAAAATCTGCCTCAAACACAGGAAACAGGCTTCAGGGACAGAGGCTTGAGAAGGCAGATCTTTACCCCTGCCAAAAGACGAATTGCACTGGGAAAGTGTGCTGTCAGGAACATCTCCAGAGTACCGAAGAGCAATGACAGTATGGAGACTAAAGTGCTCCTGATCCAGGCCAGGGTCTTTGCAATCATGTGCTATACATGAGAAAGCTGGGCAATAACTAGGGATGATAGAAGAAGAATTGATGCCTCTGAGGTGTGGTGCTGGAAAAGAATATGGATTATACCATGGATTGCTAAGAGAACAAATAAGTTCATCTTTGAGAGGGTGAAACCAGGCTACTCCTTGGAGGCAAGGATTCTGAAGCTTCATATGACACACTTTGGGCATGTTGCAAGGAAGGACCAGTCTTTGGATAGAGACATTATCCTTGGGAGGGAAGAGGAATAGCACAAGAGAGGAAAACCCTCAACGAGATGGAATGATCCAGTGGCTGGGGTAATAGGGGTAGGTGTGTCTGGGACAACAAAGTTGGCTCAGGATAGAACAGGGTTCAGAGATATTGTACATAGGGTCCGTATGAGTCACAGTTAACGTGATGGCACATAAGAACACAACAACAGTTTTGTGCCCCAATTGTTAATGGTGCACCACATAATCTAAGAACAGTAGAGCTAGATCAAAGAATGCCAGATTTTCTGCTTAAACAAAACCTGGCACCTCGTACCAGCCAAAGGACGTTGACAGTCATCATCATTAGGCAGAAACGATCTGAGAGCAGAGAGTTTGGGTTGTTTAATTACTTACAGAGAATTTCAGAAACTAAGGTTTAAAAATCTCATCTATACAGACAGAAAGCAGATCAGTGCTTACTTGAGGCTGGATGGGGCAGGGCCTGCAAACAGGGTGATGGAAATGCCTAGATCTTGATCCTGCTGGTGGTTACGTGGACATATAAATGTCAAGAGTTATCAAAGGCTTCAAATGAGAGATTTTTGTTGGATAGAAATTCATTCTCAATGAAACTGACTTAATAAAAAGAAGCCAGTCACCTGTTTGGAGAGAAGGCAATACTTGTCCCTTGGAGGACCTGAAGCTTTCTGGAAACAGGGAGACCTGCATGAACCCAGATGCCCCCCCAGATGCTTTCTGGAGGGTCTTGAGAAAATCACTGAGTTTTCTGACCTTAATCTTCCTGACCTTTTATAAGTAATTTCAGATGCCAATACAAATACCTAGTGGGGTTTTTTTTGTATAGATAAAAATTCAACTAATATTTATTATGAGATATTTTACACTAACTCTAGTTCATGAAACATGGACATGATATCTCTTTATTAATACTATGTTGGATGCCAATATAAGACATGCAGTCCTAGACTTTTTTTTTTTTCTGCAGTCCTAGACTTTTATACTTCTAATTCTTAAGGAGATAATCAGAACCAACACCATGACAGGTATTTATGGAGTTTTCACTCTGCACCAAGAGGACTGCTGTCTTCTTCCTGATTTACTTCATTCAATCCTCACTGCAATCTTATGATCTGGGTTTTAGCTCCATTTTAAAGAGACACTGAGAAAGAAAAGACATTGGCCTAGGGTCACCCACCTGCTAAGTGGAATTGGAATTTAAACTAGGACAGTCTAAATAAAGTTTATCAGAATCACCCAGTGTGCTATACAGACTCCTTTGTAGTCTAGTAAAATGCTATCCTAAAAGTAAAGGAAAAGTCAGAGCTATTTCAAAAGCATCATTTTATATTACAGTTTATGACTAAAGAAGAACAAGAATTTTTAGAGATTTTCTTTTCCTTCCCCCTTTCTTACCATCAGAACAGGCACTGGTAATGCCACTATTAAGTCTGTAGGTATTTTTTCTACATATATTAGTCAAGAATCTTCTTTGTAAATTATCACTAATGGACCATTCCCTCCAAAAGAAGGAATCTACTTTATTCTTGGTCCTATAATATAGTGAGGAAAATGTGGACCAATTTTTTTTTCAGAACCAAGAATTCTGAGGTCATTACATATATTATCTCATTTAGTATGTGCCACTACAGTCTGTGCACACACACGCAGGGATGCACGCGCGTACACACACACACACACACACACACACACACACACACATTTCTCACTCCTCACAGAGAAGAAAATCAAGGCCCAGCTACTTGTTGAAGGCCTCAGAGTAGGAGATAAAGCAGGTTTCATTCTTCCTGAATCCAAGGCTTTCCAACCTAATACCACCACTTGCCAAGTCAAATATCATCACCAAAGTCCAAGGATGAATATGTTTAGGGTTAATAAAGATCAAGGAATAACTAAGCTCACTGCCTCATTTATTTGAACTCAAATTTCTTGAACTCTTCAAGAGCTCTCATTTTTATCTGTAATAATAATAATAATAATAACAATAATAATACCCTTTCAAGAGTTACTGTGAGGATTTTATGAGAGTATGTAGAAAGCATTTAGTATAGTGTCTAGCACACAGTGAGCAGCCAGAAACTCAAAGCCACATCTGACATTGTATCTCTGCCACATTTATAAGAGGACAGAAACTGAGTATATGTCACCTTTTATTCTTTCTCAGAATGCATTTTCCTTACCTCTTCTCTGATACTTACTTTTTCTTCGTGCTCTGTAATGCTTTGCTCAGCTTGATTGCCAGTTTCTGAAGTTGCTTGGCATAGCTAATCTCCAAGTTTGCCCTGGGAATAAGGAGTAGTTGTTTAATAGAATTGTAGTGGTCAGATCAAGTAAAACTACACACACACACACACACACACACACACAGAGAGAGAGAGAGAGAGGAGTTCAGGCTGAGAATATAATGAAATGATGATTTGTTTACCATAAGGATCTTCTTTTCCTTTAAAGGGTGGGAATTGTTTACTTAAGCTTGTACACCCATAAGGAATATAATGTTTTTCTTACCACTAACCTTATAAGTTCTTGGTCATAGTAGCTGACTATTATAGTTAATTATCAATTTATTATAGGTAACTAAGCATTAGCTTTATGAGGGAAAGCTTCAAGATGGGCAACACCAGATTTAGAAAATGAATTTCAATATTTTCTATTAAAAAAAAATTTCAGTAAGGAGTCTGGAACAGGACTTCCAAAATGAAATTCTTTGGTGCTTTTAGATCTGTTAAATCACTGTTATTTAAAAATTATTTTACTTCCAAAAGATTGTTTTAATTATGGACCAACTTGTAGCTAAAACCTCACTTTTGTCAAATGATATTGAAAAACATACAAAATGAAGTCTAATAATTATTATCACATTTTTCTTCTTAATACTATACAAAAAATCTTACTACATACCTATCTGTATATTTATTTATAATTTTACTTTATTTGTGAAATAATTTTAATAACTAATTTAAAAGCTGCATAGTTCCACTTAAGCTAGCCTCTTTGTTACAAGCAAGGAAAGACAGCTGTTTCTCATAAAATAGAATCCAAAACTGATGGGCTGTTGATGTACTGTTGATCAGCACTCTGTCTCTCCACTAAGCAGAATATATTCCTTAATCAGACAAGTTACTTTTTAAAGTGCAGTGAGTTATTTACTTATCCTCCTTATTGTTGTCATATACCATTGAGTTGCTCACGACTCATAGCAACCCTACGTACAATAGCCCTGAACCCTGCTCTATCGTTGTGCCAACCTTATTGTCTCTGACACACCTACACTCATTACCCTAATCATTCTCTGCATCTTTTCCTGTTTGTGCAGTTGTCCTCTAAGGAATTTTTACTATGTTTTAAAAGAAAGAAGACCAGAGTAGGATATGTTAAGAAGCAGGTGCAGAAATTAATTTGTTATCAGACTTTGCCCAATGTGACAAAAGTTATGACAATTATTTCTATTCAATAAATTTGACACATTTTATTTTGCAACATAATTTGACATCTCTTCACACTCACACACTCATTGCTGTCGAGTTAGTCAGAGCTGATTCATAGGAGATTTTCAGAGGCTGTAAATCAGGTCAGAGGTGACTGCCCATCCTTCTGTCTCAGAGTGGATTCGGAGCACCTCTGGGTTGGTAGCACAAATTTCCCCGCCCCAAGGCTACCAGATCTCCAAGAAATTCCCTTAGTAACAGCAGTTCCTCCCCTCCCTCCCTTGGATTCTGTGTCAATTTCTTTTTTCTTCTCCCTGGCCCCTCTCCACTTGCTTGCCATCTGACCTTTATTTTGGGGCAAAAGCTGCTCTTTTGGTTAATTGTTCTGAGGTATACATTCCTCATGAGTATTACTGTTCACTTTATAAGCCTGTCTGTTGTTCGGCTGCAAGGTAATCCCTGGGAATGGGTTCAGTTCTAGGTTTGAAAGGTAACAAGTTCTTAGGAATTTGATTGTACTTTTGGAAAGAATTAATCCCACATGCAAGCAAAATCCTGCTAAAAACTATCCAAAAAGACAGTTAGTACATCAACAGAGAACTACTCCCCATGATACATCTTCAAGGATATGAACATGTACGGCCAAGCACAATCAATAAGAGTGCATCTAAATTCCAAAATCAATCTCCATAATAGTCTATGTGTTTCCTACTGCCAAAGGGGCCCTTTAGAGTAGTGAGAGAAGATCTTCACCCTGAAACCCACAGCGTCCCTTTTCAGCAGGAAGTAGCTAAGAGAATACGCCATCCCCTTTTCCTTATGACTCAGGGTGAAGTCTCTCTCAGGGAGGAGAGATAGGGAATGGCAAAGGATACACTGACAAAGAAGATTAATCAGAACTGGCTTTGACAAGCACTGTGGCATTTGGACAAGAACAAACTGGGAGGAGGGCAGAGAGAATGGTGCAACAATGAATGAATGGAAACCCAAAATCTCTGTAAATGTTTATGAAAATTAATAAAATATAATTATAGGGAAAAAAAACAAAAAAACAACAACAGAGAACTACTAGAGGTTCAAGCTAGGCTTAGAAGAGGCCAGGGCATCCTAGCTGAAAACAAAGAACACCAGAAGGATGTCTTCCCCTGCTGTATCAACCACACAAAGGCACTTGACTGTGTGGATCACAGGAAACCACAGCCAACCCTGAGAAGAATGGAAATCCCAGAACACCCAGTCATGCTCAGACAAAACCCATACTCAGACCAAGAGGCTGTCATGTTAACAGAACAAGGGAAGAATACATGGTCAAAATCAAGAAGGGCTGTGTCCCGTCTCCACACTTGTCCATTCTGCATACTGAGCAAACCATCCAAGAAGCCAGACCTCATGTAAAAGAACGTGGTATCAGAATCAGAGGAAGGCCCATCGACAATCTATACCATACAGATGATACAACCAATTCCACCAAAAATGAAGAGGACACAGCACCCGTAACTCACTGCAAAATGCCAAAGTCATCAACATGGACTACATCTCAACACCAAGAAAGCAAAACTCACCACTGGACCAATAGGCAACATCACAAGGCAAGTATTTTTAAAATAATGAAGAGGGCAAATAAATAACTCACTATACTAAAAAAAGGTTGTGTCATCTGCACAACCCTGCTTGCTGAAACTGAGGAGGACCTCATGCACTTGCTACGGAGGGTCAATGACTGCAGCCTTCAGTATGGACTGAGGCTCAGTGTCAAGAAGACAAAGATTCTCACCACTGGACCAATTGGTAGCATCAGGATGGATGGCGAAGAGATTGAGATTGTTCACAGCTTCAGTTTGCTCACCTCCACAGTCAACACTCTCGGCACCAGCAGTCAGGAAATCAAAAAGCGTATCGCGATGGGAAAGTCTGTTAGGGACCTCTCTAAAGTACTCAGGAGCAACAGTGTCTCTCTGGAGACTAAGGTGCGCCTGATACAGGCCATGGTATTTGCAATCGCTTGTTATGCATCAGAGACTTGGACAATGACTAGGGAGGACAGAAGGAGAGTTGATGCCTTTGAACTGTGGTGCTGGAGAAGGGTACTGAATGTACCCTGGACTGCCAGGAAAACAAACAGATTCATCTTGGAGAGGATTAAACCAAGCTACTCCTTAGAGGCAAGGATTCTGGGGCTTCGTCTGACATACTTTGGACATGTTGCCAGGAGGGACAGGTCCTTGGAGAGGGACATCATGCTTGGGAGGGTGGAGGGACAGGCCAGGAGGGGAAGACCCTCTATGAGATGGATTGATTCGGTGACTGGGGTAATTGGGATGGGTGTGTCAGAGGTGGTGTGGTTGGCGCAGGATAGAGCAGGGTTTAGGGCTGTTGTGCATAGGGTCGCTATGAGTCGCAAACGACTTGACGGCACATAACAACAACAACATGCTAAAAAACAAACAAACAAACCCCAACCACCAAGAAAAAAACACACACCACAAAACAAAAACCCCAAAACTTCTCTGCTTTAGGAATATGTCCAGCTTGACGGAGAGACAAAGAGAATGCTGCTTGGCAGAGGAAGTTGGGGAAGACCATCACTCTTGATGAGCCTGGATGCTCTGGACTCCTAGGTGACTTCTGCCAGTCAGTGGACAGACTTTAGGCAAGATTACAAGGAGTACAGGGGTTCTGTGATTATTAAAATGCGCTGTATCTTTGTACCCAGAACAATGGTTTGACTAGTATGGGTTAGGACTAAGACACATCCTACAAGTTTGGCCTTGTTAACTGAACTGAGAATAATAAAAAAGCTCTTTCCAAACAGGGTCATATTTAGAAGAATAGGAGTTAGTACAACTCTCGGGTGTGGGATACAATTCATTTCATAACACTGACCTACGTTGTGTCTGTACACACAATGTCCATGAGTCACATACCACGTCCTGCGCTTTCTAAATGCAGGCATACTTTATTTTATTGCACTTCACTTTACTAGGCTCCAAAGACACTGAACCTTCTTTCTCTCTTTCTTTTATTTTTTTTTTAAAACCCAGTTGAAGGTTTATGACAACCTGATTCAAGCAAGTCTATTTGCCACCATTTTTGTCATTTTCCCAACAGCTCGTGCCCATTTCGTGTCTCTGCATCACATTTTCATAATTTTCACAGTAATTCAAACTTTTCATTAATGTTATTGCACATTTTATAGATGATAGTATAGTGTAAGCACAGCTTTTGCTTGTGTTGGAACCCTCTACAGATTCACAAGGCTTACTTGATTGAACTGATCTGGAACTGGTCCTGCAATATCTCTAAAGCATGTTTATATTGTAGGTATAATTTTTCACTTAAACCCTCAATAACCTGCCTGATATTTCGTGGAGGGGAAAACCAAGGCATGGAGTGTTTAGCCACTAACTTGCCAAGGCTCACACCTGAAAAGGGTGCCAGAGTCGAATTTGAACCTCGCCATGTCACTGGAGAACCTGCCAACTTAATCACGCCACTCTCCCTGCTTCTGAAATTGGGAGATAGAGGCCACAGATGGGTAATTTCAGGGGAAGTCAAACAAAAGTACTTTAAAAAACTGACACAGCCTCTTACTCTGTCTTTAATTGCTGTATTCTGAAATCACCACAATTCCTGGGGGCTTAGCAACTGGAGACAGGATCCACAGTAGCTTCCTCACACACATAATAAGCTTCCTACGGTCTCTTCACCTCATATCTGTCTGTGAAATTAGAAGGCATTTTGGGTAGAGGACTAGGAGTCACCAGCTATCTAGAAACAGTAAGAGAGAAGGTGGCTCTCTTTTTAGAATGTCACCAATCTTTTGGGGCTGGACTGCTATTAGACACAGTCCATCT